TTCTCTCTTTTCTTCTTTCCTCTCCTACTTCTTGCTGTCTACTTTACTCTACAGTCAACGAACAAGACAGAATTCTATGGCAGGTCAAACTTCAACAAAGGTCTATCGTCTTCATCTCTTCATCTAAAGAGGCATCAAATCATGGATATCTTTACAGCTGGTGGACTAAGGATTTAAAAAGATTGGGAAGAAAAGTTGTTTGTAAACTTGAGTTGGAGAAAGCTTATTGTTATGCAGATTTGGGGGTTTTCGGATTTGGTACTTGAGAAGTCAGACTTCAAGGAGAGAAAAAATGGATTTTCTTTTTTGTTTGCTATTTAACTTTTCGATAACTTCTTTATTTCATATATGCACTTCCAATGACTTGTGACAGGGTCACCCATGTCACATTTTCTATTAATTTCTCTGTGGGATGCCTTAGTCATCTTGTGAGTTGAGATGCAGTTGTAATAATACAGGTTGTAGTTTAGAGTAGGAAGGAGGAAAATGTAGTGTTTCATTTTTAGTTTGGGAGGTTATAATTATCCTTTTTGAGGATTAGGGGGATGCCCCTGTGAAGAACTTCAACGATTTTATTAGGTTTATTTGGATGATTCTCAGGCTTAAAAATCAACTTAGATGTAAGCACTATTAAATGGACCAACCTTAGGGAGGGAGTTGAAGGTGAATTTATGATGGCAATGAGGTGTTAGATTTCAAACTTGCTGCCCTAGTAACTTGATCTTCCCTTAGATGGAAATTCTAGATCTTTGGGGTTCTGGAACTGAGTGGTTTAGAGTTTTCTGGGAATCTTGTTGCCTTGATTCTCTAGAAAGATAACTAACCCTGCTAAAATCTGCCTTCTGTAATCTTCTTATCTATTTCTTCTCTATGGTTGGGGCTCCTATGTAAGTCATCAAGATTATTGAGAAAATAATAACAGAATTCTTTCTGGTGTTTCCAGAAAGGACCATTTCATTAACTGGGATATGGTATGCTTGGGCAAGGAAAGTGGAGGTTTGGTTGGGTAATAAGATAAGAGGTTTAGAGATAGGAATAGAAAATTTTCAGGACAAGTGGAAGGCCCATTACACCTAAGGCGTCAAATCTAGCAAGCTTCATATATATAACTCGCTTGCAGATTTATTAACTTGAGAGAGAGTACACACATTATTTTATTTTATTTTTCTTTTTGACTTGGGGAGGATATCTTTTTACTTAAAACAAAAATGTTTCTGGGTTTCATTTTTTACCTCATTAGGGGCTGGGGGTGAGTAGTGATGAGCTGGTTCTTTATAGAGAAATAAATTAGAAAGCCACGTTGCTGTATTGTAACATACTTTGTACATCTTGCATGATAATATGTGAATAGGAATAGGCTCAATCGTCTGTCTATCCCCAAGGCATTATGTGTCATAAGAAACCAACAACTTCTGGGTGAGCCATTTAAATCTGCTTCTCCTTTTGTATCCAAAGAAAGGAAAAAAGATAAAAAAAGGAACCAACTTCCTCTGAATTTAGGTCCAAAGCATATACTACAAATTTGAGAAGGATGCAAATCTAAATGTTGGGGATGATAATTAGTGATGCCGAGAAAAAACAGCTGGCATATTAGGGAGAAACTGGGTTTATACGGACTGACAATGATGGCAAGTTGTTAAAAGTTTGTCATATTGTGGTTAGTTCAAAGACAGGTGAGGAGAGGAGAAAGTCATATGATGAGGTAATTACTGATGTTGGTGCTGCTGTTTTATCAAAATTGGCAGCAGCTCACCAGTCAATAAGTGAAAATTGAAGATTAATGTGCATTTGAAGTCATAGTGGTATTTTTGGTTGTGGAATAGGTGCAAGATTGTTCTGTTCCTCATGGGGGTTGGAAGATTCTAATAATAAAACTGAAAAGAAGATACCTTCAGTGCTTATGAATGCTAAGCAAACAAGCACAAAATATGTTATTTGGTGGTACAAGCAATCTTCTTCTTTCTTTCATGAAGCTGAAAGTGATTTAAAAGGCGTGCCTAGGCGCACAGGCGAGGCGCATTTTAGGGTATGCGCCTCGCCTAGGTCCTAGGCGCAGCCCTTTAAGAAGCAATTAAAACTATAAAATCATTATTTTTTGTGTGAAAACTAAGAATTTAAGACCTAATGTGGACTTGTTTGGGCTTGCCTCGAGGGGCGTAGCACAAAGGCAGCTCGTAATGCAATTGAGTGAAAAAAGAGATTAGAGGTTTTACATGTTTTGTTTAATATTTTTTTTTTGATTTTTTTGAATTTTCTGACATTTTTTTTTATTTTTTAGCATTTTTTTTGTATTTTTGTGCCTTGCTTAAAAAAGGTGTGCACCTTGCCTTGAACCTTGCGCCTCAGGCGCAAATTGACCCCTGCGCCTCAGGCGCAAATTGACCCCTGCGCCTTGCGCTTTTAAAACACCGGCTGAAAGGATGTAAAGATGATGGATCTTGCAACTTGAATGTGATGACTAGTTACTTTACAGAAGGTAGGGGTGTTTGTTTAAATTATGGCATTGATGCACGCAATGGTCTTGATATAAGTGACAAATTTTGGAATTTGTAAACATGACTAGTTTCGGAAACCAAGATGAGCAAGTCTTGTGGGCCAATAATTGCAAGGAGGATTTATAGTTAGAGGAATTAAAAATTTTGAAACATGGCTGAATCTCACTGATTTTTAATACCTTTTATTTTTTTCTCATAAAATGAACATTCTGATCAAGGTTATTATGTAACGAAATGAATAGTTGAATGATATTTAAAGAACTTTTGGAATTAATTACTGCATCAGTAATTTGTGGTATTCATATAGATGGTTAAAGTTTGTCAACTTATTTATCTGTTCTTACCCAAGTTCTGCTTCTTTTGGCGGTTGGTTGGAATTGGGTGTTTGCATTCTGTTGCCTTGTATCTCCTAGAGTTTCAGATGTTTTATAAGTTATTGATTATTGATTTAGCCTCTTAAGGAGGTTAAAGTAGAAATATTAACCATATTGAAAGAGGGTGTATCTATCTCCTTATTTGTTTTCCCCCTTTTGCCAGATTTTGCTTGATGACGTAAAAATAATGGAGCAGATACTGGATCTGGTATTTTATATGCTTATTGTTCTGGGTTCTTATGGAAAGGTGACCTTTTATCCTCTCTTTTAGGTTTTCCTATTTATCTCTCAATGGTTCTTATGTGACCTGGTTTTGTGTTTTAGGAGCATGCTACAAGTTTTGTACCTCTTTTGCATTCAGCATTGGTGGCTTGCAGTCTTCATCTATTGACTGGATCAATTTCGTCACAGTGGCAAGATGTTGTTCATGTTCTTCTTGCACACCCCAAGGTGCTTTTGATAATGTTCTATTCATGGTATCTCATCTCTAGATTCCAACATAGTAACATTCGTGGCTAATCAGTGGACTTTTCCATGACAGGTTGATGTATTCATGGATGTAGCTTTTCATGCTGTTCGGGTAGACATTAGGTTTCTCCAGATCAAACTGTCAGCAATAGATCTTCATACTTTGTGCAGGAAATCCAGTCCTCTTCCTAGTGAACAAACAATGAAAAACCTCTGCCATCAATGCGAGGCTTCTTTGCAGTTTATTCAGTCCATGTGTCAACAAAAAATGTTTAGGGAGCGTCTACTTAAGCATAAGGTTTTCTAGATACTCCTTATGTTTTTAGAAAAGTCAATGATTAAATAACATTTAATTTAGCTTTTCTACGTTGTTTTTTCAAAACAATTTATTAAGGGTGGAAGGCCTTATCAAAGTACCTCTAGACATAATATCCTTGTAGTCTTCACATGGTGTACCAGTTTCTAGTGCACATGCAGAAATCTGGATCCACCATTTGATGGATCTACCTTCAAAATCTTGTAATAGGCTATTAATATTTCTGGAGTGGACATTAAAGTCTTAAATACCAATTGGTTGCAAGGGAGGTAGAGGCTGATTTCAAATGGGTTAGAAGGAGTGCAAATGGGCTAGCTGATTATCTTGCTAAACAAGGGCTTTGAGGCAACAATAGTTTTGGGCTGCAATGTAAAGTGGGACAGAGACAGAAATATGTAATAGTGTGGGAGCATTAATCCCATACACAAAGCTGTAAAACTTTATTTTAACCCTAATTTCAAATAAAACTCTCTTTTGCTGATAAAAAAAAGTCTTAAATACCAATCTAAACAGCTCTGCGGATAAGGTCCTAGGACCACCATAGTAAATTATTGCGTATACAAGGAGAACAATCAAATGGTGGTTCTCATCCTCAATAGTAGGATTTCACCGATTGATGTCCTTGTTCGTTGTGGACTACCTGGATGGGTCTTGGTAGAGAGATTAATTTATGTTTTAAGGTCTAGGAAGGAAAAAAAGTCTGTATTTTAAAGGGGTGGGAGGGTGTTGGTGCTTGGTGCTTGGGTTCCGAGTTTTTTTCCTCGTCTTGGGTGATGTCTTGCCACCTCACTTGTAATTTTTCTTTTTTAGTAAAATTTTCTTTTTTTTTTTATTTATTACCAAAAAATTCCCCTGAAATATATCATTTGTTCTTATTACAGGAACTATGCAAAAATGGTGGTATTCTTTCACTAGCACAGGCAGTCTTAAAGTTAGATATTCCTCCACATCTTCAAGAGTCCTCTACGGTTGTGGCTGCTGTGTCTAGGATGAAGTCTAAAGTCTTGTCCATTGTAAGTCCAAAGATGTTGACGTGGACCATATTGTATCATGTTCCATTTTTTTTAATTTTTATTTTCTGTAGTATAGTTACTTATACTTTAGAATTGATGCTGCTTATTAATTCTTGACATATTTGTCCTATTTGTGATATCTCTTGAGAAAACTTCATTATCAACTGGATTTCTCTTTATGCAGTTGGTGCAGCTCTGTGAAACAGAAAGTATTTCTTACTTGGACGAGGTAGCAAGCTCTCCGAGGAGCATGCAATTGGCAAAGTCTGTTGCGTTAGAGGTTAGTTCTCAGAAGATGAGGTTGAAAGACTTCAATTAGAGAAAAAGGGTATAATCACCGGTGTGTATTAAGATGACCTACCAACGGCATACTGGTGCCCCTGCATCATGTGAGATGTGAAATCCATCCGATTTAATGCTTTGCACATTAAATCCATATAATACATATTTTATCTCTGTTGTGTGATACAACAAATTAGATGGTTATTGCGATTTAAATAAAGGGACTGAATGGATACACCAGTTAATGTGAATAGGTTTTGATTTTTTTTTTGTAGATTGTCCATATTATCTGCTAATTGATTTTCTTTGATTTCCCTTTTGTCTATGATGAATGTTTTTAGTGCAAATTCCATGCTATTGATTTGAAGTTCATGGTGCAGGTTCTTGAGTTATTGAAAACTGTATTTGGAAGAGAACCCAAACAACTTGGTGATTGCTTAGACAACAGTTATCCAAGGGGTCTTGTGCTTCTAAACTCAATGCGATTAACCGATATCTTCTCTGATGATTCAAATTTTCGATCTTTCATTACACTTAACATTGTAAGATATTCACTGAAGCCTATTCCACTTGTTCTCTCCCTGTCTGTTTTTCTTTTACTTTGTCAGAGCTCACAAGATCTATGATGCATATTCCTTAAAAGAGGAGAATAAAACATTGAGAATGTGTGGACGTGTCTAATCCTCAAAAGAAGAGAATTTTATCTTTGCAAGAAATTAAATATTTCATGATGAGAAATTGCTTTTTCTCTATATGTTTTATCACTTGAGATTGCAAACATATCATGTGATTTTTCTTTTTGATCAATAACAGAAATTTCATTCACTGATTAAGGAAAATAATACAACAGAGCGGAGCTAAAGGATCTTAACTCCCCACAACTGTCCATGTATACCCAAAATACAAAATCAGTTACAACTGCGCCCAAAAAATAGAATTCCTATTCACCCCTTGCCTAGCTAAGCCATTATGCGATTTTGATGATGTGCTGATCTTAATATGTTGAAGAACTCTTTAAGTTTCAAATTATAAATGTTTCCACATCCATCAAAAGTTCTGATTGTTCATAGAAAAATTCCAGAAAACCGATTAAGTTATCTGAGGTACTTCCTTGGATGAGATCTCTGACGTTTTTGTTCTCTCATCTTTCAGACACAAGTATTGGTTGAAATTTTTTCACTGCCTCCTGAAGAGTTTTGTTCTAGTTGGTGCTCTACTGATCTTCCATTGACAGAGGAAGATGCTGCTCTTGAGTATGATCCATTTGTGGCAGCTGGAGCTATTCTGGCTTTACCATCTACTACTTTTGGAACTTCTCTTTTGGCATCTGATCCATCCAACGAGGCAATTAAAGAATGCCCCTTCATTCTCAACAACATACCTCAGGCTTCCTATGCACAACAGAGAACATCATTCTTGGTCAAAATAATTGCAAATCTCCATTGTTTTGTTCCCAATATCTGTGAAGGTCAAATCTTTACTCTGTAATTTATGGTGTGCCACCAAAACCTCTCTGTATTTGCTATTATTTTGTGACTACATTTTTTAAACTCCCTGTTGTAACAGAGCAAGAAAGGAACCTATTCTTTAACAAATTTCTCGAGTGCTTGCAAACGGAGCTACCTAAAACATTGCCTGGTTTCTCGTTAACACATGACACCCAGAAAGCTGCTACAGTTTGTGAGAACTTGTGTTAGTATTTCTTTCTGATGGTTATTTCAATTGGATACTCATTTTTTTATTGAATTGTGCATTCTCAAATGTTTACCTGTATGTGCAGGTTCCTTGTTGGCTCATGCAAAATCCTTAATTCCTAATTTATTGAATGAAGAGGATGTTCAACTGTTGAGGTAATATAATCCTGAGTTCTTTTTCTAAAAGTTTCTATCCTGTGATTTAAAAGGCATGCCTGGGCACACAGGTGAGGCCCATTTTAGGGTAGGCGCCTCGCCTAGGTCCTAGACGCAGCACTTTCAAAAGGCACACGCTTGGTGTGCACCTGATGCGCCTTGTGCCACTTTTGAAAATCGTATGCTTTTTTGCTTTTTTTTTTTTTTTTGAACCTAGTGGCTGGGCAGGGGGCTCTGCCCCCAGACACTCCACTCTGGTTCACTCGCTCACCGAAGCTCCGAGAACCCCCTATTTGGTAATGTTGTTCATTCATTCATCTTGATAAAATATCTTCTTAAAAGGCAAATAAAATTATAAAATCATTATTTTTGTGTGAGAAATGAGAATTAAGAATTTAAGTCCCTACCATGGACTTGTTTGGGTTTGCCTCAAGGGGCGTGGCACAAAGGCGACTTGTAGAATTAGGAATGTAATATGTTTTACATCACATTAGCTACTTGAAGTAATGCAATTGAAGAAAAAAGAGATTGTGGGCTTTACATGCTTCAAAATGTTTTATATGTTTGATTTGTTTTTAAATTTTCAATTGAATATGCTTTACATGTTATGTTTATGTATTTTAATTTTAGATAATAGGTTTTTAAAAACCATTAATTTTAAAAATTAAGTTTATATTTCTTATTAATATTATGTTTAATATTTTTAATATTTTTGCATTTTTTTTGAATTTTCTGACATTTTTTTTTAAATTTTAGCACTTTTTTTGTATTTTTGTGCCTTGCTTCAAAAAGGCGTGCGCCTCGCCTTGCGCCTCTTGCCTTGGGCGCAAATTGGCCCTTGCGCTTTTAAATCCTATGTCGTGCTAAGCATTGAAATAGATACAGAAACCGCCCCTTCTAGAAGTTGCTTGATAACAGCTGAAATGGCTGATTCGGCTTCAGGGGTTTGGTGCTACAGGGATCTCTTAAAGAAAGCCAAGTGGTTAACAAGAAACATGTGCATTACTCTGGGTGGGAAGGTTGGCAAATGCTTTGGCTGATTGCCTTGCTAAACAAGGGGTTAATTGGGAAAATTTGTACTGGGCTGCACTGTAATCTTTTCTCCTTCGTTTCTCTTTTGGGATGCTTGTAACAAGGGGTTAATCTGTAATTTCTTTCAAGGGGAGGTTGCACCTCGTGCCTCTCCTTGGGATGCTTGTAACAGTTTTCTCATCTTGTTAATGAAATCACCATTCAGTTATCAAAAAAAAAAAAAAGCTAAAGTGGCTAAACGGAAAAGCTTATTGCATTGTCTTTTAGTAAGTTTCAAATGGCCCCTTGGACTGATATGTGGGTATCATTAAACAGAACTATGAATTGGCTGGCATGATTTAAACTTAGGGTTATCATTTAGAAGCTACAAATCTGTGCATGGGGTTCCGTTATCAACCAACTACGTTATACATCGTCCTAGAAAGAGACTCACATGCTGGGATGAATGGCAATCTTTTTTTTTTTTTTCCAATAAGAAAATTACCTGTAACATCTTAAAAAAGGGAGTTGAAAGTCCAGGCTTTTAAAATGTTAAAGAACATCTAGGTATGGTTTGATCAGAAACAAGGGAAATTTATTAAAATGATGAATAACATGCAGATACAAATTAAGAAACTATGAGTACAAGAGAACTAAGGTACTAGCATAAAGTTACTACTGTGCCCCAACTTCTCTCAGTTTTTTCCCCAATTATGTTATTTATGGAAATTGTTCTGGGCTTGCTTCTGCTGCTTGAATAATGAATATTGATTAAAGGTCTATTATTATTATTTTCGATCAGCGTTAGAAGGCCTATTGTTTGGACTTGTTTATATCACCTTAGTTACTTTACCAATAAAGTGATCTTTTACTTTTGTATTTCCTTCATCCCCTTCATTGTTCAAACCATAACGGGTACTGCAGGTGAAACTGTCTCCTTCAATTGATCCTTGGGGCTAGTTTGTTGGCTCAGCAATCTTATTTGCATTGGCTACACAATCTTATTTCCTTCATCCCCTTATTAGGCATCTGTATTTTAAGTTCCCACATCATTGTTTCTAACCCACTCACCCCTACTTTAGAATCACCGTCCACCATATGTGGTTGAGGTTCTAACTGAGCATAAGTTCTTGTAGAACCGCCAAAAGTTCTGTCCTAGACTCCTAGTGGAAATCACCATATCTAGCAGGGACTGAGAAGAATGCCATTAAAGTTCCATCATGTTTTCTAACTAAACCTCCAATCCTGGAGGACCTAGGATTCCATAAGCTGTAGCCATCAAAGTTAAACTTGATCTTAGGTTGAATAGAAGGCGACCGTTGGACCAGTATTCTTGTCCTAGATGTGGAGGATGTAGCATGCTTGTTAATTTCTGATAATATCATCTTTATGAAGTTTGCAAAGAAATACATAGTCTTTACTCTTCACCCAATTTACCACCCTCATCTTAATGGTTTCCATTGATTACCTATGAATAAGCTTCTCAACTCCACTTGGTGGTTCCACCTACAGCCAAAAATAGAAAAAATACCCCAACTACTAGAGACAAAAGGACCTGAGATTAGTATCACGACTTGCTCTGTATAGGGAATATATACTAGGAGAGATGTATCAGTTAGGCCTTTTCTTTTGAAGCTGATCACAGGTGTTCTCATGTACTACCTCCCAACAAAAATCCCTAACCTTGGGTGATATTGGGCCCCACCACACAGCAGGGGAAATCAGACTTCAAAGGTGAATCCAATTAGAGGGACTTAAAAAAGGAAGCATAAGAAAAGAGATCTGATATACTGGCATTCTGGATTCTACAATCATTAAGAGAGGAAACCAAAGAGAGCCATGCAAAGAGCCAATGAGAGAAGAGACAGTTGATAATTTGTTTTCCCAAGTTCCCTCCTAAAAATGCAATTCCTGGATTACCATGGGTAGATATAGAGAGATAGAAACCAAAGCATCTTTATTGGAGGACAAAGAGAAAAGACAATTAAATCTATCTTTAAAAGGTAGCTCCCCCCCAACAGGTCAGCCCAAAACCTTGTTTTATCCTCAGTAAGAACCTCATAGAGAATAAACTGAAGGAACAGGTGCGAAATTGAAAAATTGCCTTCCAAAGTGAGGCATGAGTAGTTTTTTTTTTTCCTGCCAAGCCTCATTCCATCCATTAGCAGAGATACCATGAATGCTCTTTATCAGAACATGCCATAACCTGTCTGATTCTACCTGGAATCTCCACAACCACTTGCCTAACAAAGCTATATTACCAATGACAACTTTCTTAATTCTTGGTCCCTATTTCCCTCCTACACACTGTTTCCCATTTAATTAAATTATTTCTCTTTGTTGGCCCTGGCTCCCAAAGAAAGACCCTCATGATCTTCTCTAATATCTTCGGAATAAGAATTGGGATAGTGAACTGAGAGAAAATAAATAGGCAAATTGGTTAGGGTGGAGTTGATTAAGGTAATACTAACCCCCAAAGAGATGTAATTTTCTTCCAATTTGTCAACTGTTTTGAGAATCTGTCCACAATAGGATTCCGGAGAAAGACCCTCATGATCTTCTCTATGATTTACATTTCTCTCTCTTGTGTGCATCTCCTCTGAGATTTGGTTGGGTTTAACAGCAACAACTGTTTCTTTTGGGGAAATCTTGATATTTGTTCTTCAAATTTTTTTGATACAGTTTCTTTTATAAGCAACTACAGTCTCTGATTACTTCTGCACAAGTAGAAGCTAAACCAGTTCAGGTAAAACCTTAACATCCTTTTGCTTGATAATGCAAATTCATATTTTGTTTATCTTTACAGGTCTTATTATGTTGTTTTGATAATGTATTCCTTGGCAACTTGGAAAAATTTGACTTTTCTTTATCTTCTGGATGAAACCTAGCCAACTCACTGTATTCAAGTTGTGTGCAGGGGCAAGTCCAGGAAAATAAATTTGGGGATTTGCTGCACAAGTTTTCTAACTATAGGTTAAATGAGCACCATCAGGTGAATACTGAAACCTTGTTTTATCTTTTCTTTCTTCACAACCATTGAGAATCTCACATTATGACCATTATCTGAAGTCAGATTTATGGTTTTCAGTCAAACTAGGGTTACTCAAAGTTTGAACCAAGGTTGTACAACTTGTGACATGAGCAAGACCTGGTGTTTAGTCTGTGACAACTGACAAGACATTGTCTTTTTCAAAAAAAAAAAAACTAACTAATTGCTTCTAATAAATTTGTGAAGTGATGACCTACTGAGCCATGGGTTGACCCAGGGTCACCTATATTATGGTCCATTTTTTTGTTCTTAATACAGTAATCTGAGAAGGGTTGATTGCCAATAGGAGGTTCAAGGCATAGGGGCAGCAAGAAAATTAGATCCAAAGATCCGGGAAGTAGCTCCAGACTTGAATGATAAAAGTGGAAGCCACAAAGATGACATCTCTGATAATTCAACTTTTGAAGACCTGTACAAGTTTGGTATGACTGGCAAAGGCACAGATCCACCTGATGATGTAATGGACCCAGATGGAAGGAGGAAAGACAAAAATGGAATTGGTAAGAGTGCATCTGAATCTTTCAGAGAGACTGACAAAGATCTTCGGACTGTTGAACCAAGTAGCTCTGATGGGAAAAATTCCTTTGATCAAATGATGGACAATGATGACTTCCCAAAATTGGCCGAGCATGCTAAAGAAAGTGCATTTATGGGATCCCAGGATAATGAAAAGACTGAAACCATGCAGTTTGAAGAAAAGCAAAGGAGAAAAAGGAAGAGAAACATCATGAATGATACACAGATTACCTTAATTGAGCGGGCCCTTTTGGATGAGCCTGAAATGCAACGCAATGCCACCTTGTTACAGTCATGGGCTGATAAATTAAGTGTTCATGTGAGTAAAATGTATATATTATTTTATGTTTTTGTACAAAATAATTTGGTTCTTCTAACAGGACATTTTTTTTTTAATTTTTTGCAGGGGTCTGAGCTTACATCGTCCCAGCTTAAAAATTGGTAGGAAGTTTATTCCTCTCATTTTAGCAGTCTTAATTTTAATTTTAATTTTTTTATTATTTTTTAGTTAACATCTTTTATATATCATCATCTATAAAAGGGTCATTAACCAAATTTATTAAAAAAAGGGTCATTAACCAATGTGGTCCCAGCTATCTGGGGTCTTGGGAAGGGTGGACTGGATGTGGGCCTAACCTTTGGCATACTTTACACAAAGTTGCTGCTCTCAGACTCAAACCCAAATTCTCATGCTTGCCATCCTGAGATTTTACCATTGCATAAAGCATTATTTCTGAAATTTACAATTGCTTTCTTCCAACTTTGGATGAGGATTGAATTGCTTGTTGTGTTAGGGTATGATGTCATTATGTGTTTTTCTTGTAGGCATTTCTTTCTGAGACACTTGTTTCTTGGTAGAATTTCAAGAGGCTTCCTTCCCTTATAATTACCTGTGGTTTTTTTTTTTGTAATTGGTATACATGACTATATCAAATGCTATGACTTTATATAATGGGTGTACAGCAGACAGAATATAGAGCAGGAGAAAAGGATGGAGGGAGAGAAAGGGGGGGGGGCATAACAGCTTTGGAAAGACTAGTACGAACCTTTATACTCTTTGCCAACCTGCATAGCAAAGTTAGGCTTCAGATCAACAAAAACCTGCCCACCAGCACCTGAACGCCAATAACCAGCATGGAATCCTTGAAAGTTAAAACAGCACAACATATCCCAGTAGCGTCCAGGTGTAGCAGCTCATGCACAGCAAAGACCACATTCTGTTAGAATGGGTTGATTAAATTAAATTTTGACAGGTGTGCCTTGGGTAACCTGGGCCAAGGATTAAAGTATCAGTATCAGGTATCGTATCGAACCACTTGGATACGGATATGGATACGCTTTGGAAACGCATGGAGTACGGTAAAAAAAAATGGAAATGCTTGGATGCGCTAGGAAATGTATATAAATTCCACAAATATATTAATAACATTATATTTAAGGTCAAAATAACCATAATTAATGTATAAATACATAAGAATTGCATATTCTAATGGTATATGTGAAGAAATATATTACAATTGATATAGCGGGATACATAGAAATCATACAATTTTATTGATAATGTATCGGTCAAGAGTGCTAGAACATATTATATTTCTTTTTACAAATTAGTACATGCACAATGTTATTATTATATTATTTTCTATTGAAGTTCAAGGCACAAAACATATGCAACTATTATATCTGAATTATTATATCAATTATTTCCTATTTTCCTATTTTTAATTTTTAACATTAACAGAAAAGTCAAATAAAATAGTTATCAAATGTTTGGTAAACAAATTTATTATAATTTTAACTTAAAATATTTCAAATACATTAAAATTTCTAAGATACATGTCATATGCAAATTGATAAATTTTAATTAATAAAATAATTATTTCATTAATAGTACTTTTATTTATATAAAATTTATTACATAAAATAATCATTTTCTGTTATGAAAGTAGATTAGCCAAATCGATAAATTCAATTTATATTTTATTCTCAAATATTTGGTAAATAATATTTTTTATTTTTATAAATAATAAATATGTTGCTATTTAATGCAAATTAAAATATTAATTAATAATTTATAAAAATTTTAAGATACACATCATGTTCAAATTTATAAATTTTAACTATTAAGATAATTATTCTATTATTAATATTTTTATTTGTATAAAGCTTTTGACATTAAAACCACTTTTTGATATAAATGTGGACTTATAAATTTATTTCATTAGTTTACAAAATAATAATTTTGAATTTTATTTTTTCATCTTTAATTGAAGTTGTTGAATATAAATATATATTATTTATTTGGATTACATTTACACATGTAGATAAAATTTATTTTATTTCATGGATTATCACATAATGAAGGTTGGCCTAGTGGCTTAAAGCTCGTGTTTAAAGTGCATGTGCCAGAAAGTCTGGGGATTGAATCACTCCACTGCACATTTTTTAAACAACAGAAGTGGAAACGTGGTCAGTATCGTATCGACGCGTATTAGCCGATACAACATGGTATGGGCTGACCCAATACGCACGATTCAGGAGATACAGGTTTAGTTGTAGTGTTTCCCGTATGCCCCATACCCGATACCGATATGATACGCCCCGTATCGGGCATATTGTGTCGATATTTAAATCCTTGCTTGGGGCCCAACTTGGGTTTGGGTGGGAGGAGTTTTCAGAATCTACTATGATGATATTCAACTTAGGTTTTCAGGCCCTATTGATGAAGGAATTTCTCGAGAGAACTATTGGCTCTGCTACAAGGCTTGGATCTGGTTCATTCTTAAGGTGGTCTTGTTTGGAAATTGAAGGGGATTCTGGATGGTAATTGAGTGAATGACCTCAAATGCTTCTGGCCTCTTCAAGAAGGCCTTGTCCTTGTACACCTCATTCAGATGGACACCCAGAAGGGCTAATTCCTTAGCTGTGGGTGCTGTAAGCTTTTTTGTTTGTTTTTGGTTTGTTCAAGTTAAGCATAGTGATGTCTTTTAGATTGTTCTAATCAGTAGGGTTAGTCTTTTTGCTTTAAGTTCAATAAAATTACCTGTGACTGATTCATCAAAAAAAAAAAAAAAACCTGACTGTGAATGTTACTGAACCAGAAAAGAAGTTAGATAAAACATATCCTAGTAGCATCAATTATCTACAAACTGCTATTCTGTTCCTTCTTCATACCATGGATTCTTAATTTCTCTCCTGCATTTTACAGAACTTCCCTTGGGTGTGGCAATCTGACTTAAATCTTCAATAACCCAACCGCAGAATTCTTCTGTCCAATCACAGGAAGATTCTCACACGCAGATAATGCATTCTTACTTCTTCACAAGCTTTTTTCAGCTTCAAACACTAGAAAGTATGATGATTGAAGCGTTCACTGGTGAACGCAAGAAATAATGCCACTAGTTTCTTCCCTAGTGATATGTTAATTGTTACTATGATGTCCCAAAAAATGTGTGTTTCTGCAAAGAAATGAGTCTCAGTGAAGGAAATGAGAAAGATAGGAGATCGCTTGGAGTTTCTGAATTGATGATTAGTGGGTAGTTTTGTGCATGCGGATCCAGACATTACAGATGTATTGAAATGGGTGATCAATGAGTGGAGGGGTTGGAAGCTTCATTGTTTTTCTTCAGTTTCAAGTGGCAGGAAGACATGGAAATAGCCCTAGCGAGAGATAAATCTAGGAAAAAAGGGCTCCAGAAGTTTTCTTCAGTTGGTGGTTACCTGATCTTGGAAAGAACTTTGAAAACACGAGTTTTTTTTTGGGTCAATGTTTATGGAATCCCTCTTCACACCTGGGCAGTGATTTAAAAGGCGCGCCTCAGGCACGCCTAGTCGCATAGGCGAGGCGCATTTTAGGGTATGCGCCTCACCCAGGTCCTAGGCGCACCCTTTCAAAAGGCGCATGCCTGATGTGCCTTGCGCCTCAGCCCAGGCTTGCGCCTTTTTAAAATTCTACGCTTTTTGCTTTTTTTTTTGAGCCTAACGGTTGGGCCCAGACCCTTGCCCCCTATTTGCTAGTGTTGTTCATTCAATCATTCCAATAAAATATATTCTTAAAAGGCAATCAAAGTTATAAAATCATTATTTTTTTTATGTGAGAAATAAGAATTTAAGACCCTAACATGGACTTGTTCAGGCTTGCCTCGAGGGGTGTGGTACAAAGGTGACTCATAAAATCAAGAATGCAATATGTTTATCACATTATAGCTACTTGAAATAATGCAATTGAGGAAAAAAAGAGATTGTGGGTTTTACATTCTTGAAAATGCTTTTTATATTTGCTTTATTTTTAAATTTTCATTTGAATACTATATGTTATGTTTATGTATTTTAATTTTAGATAATAGGTTTTTTAAAACATTTATTTTAAAATTTAAGTTTAAATTTTTATTAATATTATGTTTAATATTTTTTGAAATTTCTGATTTTTTTTTTATTTTTTAGCATTTTTTGTGTAATTTTGTGCCTTGCTTCAAAAAGGTGCACGCCTCGCCTTGTGCCTCAGGCATAAATTGGCCCTTGTGCTTTTTTTTTTGGTTTTTTTTGCGCCTTGCGCTTTTAAAACTTTGCACCTGGGATTTGGAAGTTTTTAGGACAATCAGAAATACCATTTGAAAGTTCAAACCTTTTGATTTTAGGAACAGAACGTGGGAGAACATTCAGTTTGCAAGAATCTTGGTCGAGATGGAGGGCGTGAAGTCAATCCCAACCTGTTTGATTAGGATAATTGTTGCAAAGGGAAATCCTCCTTTTTGGCTAAGAGATCAAAGGGTGGCCAGGGAGGCGTTAAAAGGAAGCAGATTGGAGTTTAGGGTTGATGCTCGTTACATGTCGGAGAATGGCGAGTTGCAACGGAGAGCTACAGTCGAAGATGAAGGGTTGGGGGCCTTAGGGGCTTGTTGTGTAAATTTAAAAACTTTTAGGCCCTATTACCGAAAAGGAAAAAAGTTTTAAATGAGGGGTCTTTTAAGTTCAAAATTGAGTATTTTTAGGGTTGACCTGGCTCAAAAGCCACTCGGAGTGGATTCTATTTCTTTTTATGAGATTAAGGCCTTGGACAAAAATTCAGAAAGCTCAAATTTGGATAAAGGTTTGAGACGTGCAGAAGATCACAAATGTTTTTTAGAAGGGGAGAATACAGGTGCTATCTTAAGAAGTATCTTTATGCTGGTGGTGATTGTGTGGAAAAGGAAAATGCTCCATCTCATAAGAAGTGTTGCGGTTTGACGTCTTTGGAGAGGAACCCTGATAGTCCAAGTTGCATCAAAATCAAGGATGTAGAGCTCACCCTGTTTCAACCAAGGGAGCCTAAGGGAGATATTGTCCTGAGATTTGGGGCAAAAAAGGAGTTGATTGATGGTATTGTTACGCCGAGTTGTCATGGAAAATAAAGTTTCTGGTTCAGAGGTTTGTGTTCTTGATCCTTTTTTATTTTCAGAGTT